AAAGCGACACACCGGTCAAATTTGATTAACCTCTCACAAAATGGAATTTGTGAACCTTCGCTTGCAGAAGTGTTTGCAAATAATGATCTGCAAGTAGTTCTAATGAATGGAACGATGTTGAAGTTGCTAAATTTACCTGCATATTTGCAAGGTGTGGAAAGGTGTGGAAATATAAACTTCATCACAACAATGCACTTGCTTACTACACCCTAATCATCCGGAAGTTCCTGGCTGAGAAGTACATCGCAGTACAGGAACAACCTTCCTATTCACCTGTTCATGCTCCATTTGATTTTTTCCCCCTAAGCTCAAGGTAGATCATCAAAGGAGTCCGTTTTGTAATCGTGTGGGTCATCAAGATAGCCGTAAGAACGGAGCTGGGGTTCATCCAAGAATAATCCTTCCAGCAATGCATACATAAAAGCGTAGCAAATAAGATGGAAAAGTGCATTAGACTCCAGGGGAATTACTTTGAAGGGGAAACCATGTTGTTTCTTTGGAATTTAAATAAATTGTGTGTGTGTATGTTTCGTTAAACAAGACTGAAAACGTACTTTTAAAAAGTTTTTATTATGATTTTTTTTGTGTGACTTACAAGTTTTTTCTTTTCTGAACTTAATGAATGTAAAATTTGTACAAATGTTTGTTGTTTCCAAGTGTTTAAGTCTTTATTATAAATGAACAAGTAACCATCACTTAATAATATTTATTTTTAACGCAGCCACCATGTGCTGATCATATTTGGTAATTAAGACAATATCTATTATCGCCAACATTTATATCAACTACAACAGCACTTACAAACCATTTATGATAGAAGTATAACAAAACTAAAGTAATCCTTGAAAATGCCTAACAGTTTAGCCGAAAGCGCTCGGGACCAAGTTTACTTGCATTAAGTTCAGAAAAGAAGAAAAAACATAATACAGAATTAAACAAAGGTACCTTGTCAGTCTTGTTCAGCGAAACATTGATTAAAGAGTGATTGCTGTCAAAATACGCAACATATATATATATATATATATATATATATATATATATATATATATATATATATATTGAAGTCAACACTTAGAGGCGACAGGTTTTTTCATGCTAGACGCAATCGTCAGGCCTGGCGATTGCGTCTAGCATGAAACAGCCTGTCGCCTCTAAATTGCATGTACATGTATAGAGACATATTGCATTTTATATATGTAGAATTTTGAATATGTAAAATAATTACTTGGCATAACAAGGTGCTTTCATTCTTACATATTCATAGTAATCCTTTTCATCACACACAAACATGCATACACACACACACACACACACACACACACACACACACACACACACGCAGACACACACACATATATAGCATTCGGAACGTTTTTTCCAAGATTTCATTTGTTTCCGGAAGTCATCGTGTAATGATGTAAATTACTTTTCGTGATTCTGCACTGATTTCTTGAATCCTGTCAAAATGACGCCTTTTCAAATGTGTTTTTATTTTGGGGAACAGGGAAATGTCGCAGGTGCACCATCAGTCAAACAGAGGAGGAGATAAGGAGTGATTGTCAACCAGTGGCGACAACGACGTGTGTAACAAAGTTCATCTGACAATAAGCACAGATATAGACTCTTGGTCATTGCTGTCAAAAATGCATAACCAAAGTTTGTGGCTATGTGTGTGTTTTGTAGCTGACAACGGGCTCTATCGAACGGTGTTAGCATTCACCCAACATCTATTGTAGTTTCTGTTGAAATAAATGGGAAGAAATACTTTCAGAGTATCACATCGTGTGCTTGTTCGGTTTTCAGTATGGTTGATTTGCCAGGAAGGCGATGTCGGGGAAAGTAGCGGTTAACCATCCTACTGGTTGACCCAAGCCATGTGAGTGAAATTGGATTGAGGGAACTGTTCTGAGGCCGTCGATAATTGCGCTCATGCGTTTGAGCAGACGGGCATTGTTCAAATTGCTGATCGCGCCAGGAATTTGAAACGGTAACTAAAGTCAGTCCAGGATGGTTGGGGTATAAACCGCAGATGGGATCTGTAGGTGTTGAACAAAAACAAATGTGCCTGAGAAGGCCTCCGCAACAGGATATTAGCTAACCGCTCTAGCAGACGCGCGTGCCGGAAAACGAGTAGCCGGACATTATATATAGTAAAAGTAACAAATCCGTTGGTATATAATCCAGTTTTTTAGCTTTCACAGTTAAATTTCTAAACTCTGTCCAGACCGGGGTTGATAAGACATACGATACGTCCTTATCTTCGTCTGCTGAAATAGGCTATTCTCCATATTATTGTTATATATATATATCATAATTAAATAATTCACCGAGTCTAGAAGAAACCTTGACAGAATGCCGTTTTTCCCTATATTTGGGACTCATCAGCAGTGAGCATCCACTACCAAGAATCGAAACCCGAACAGTTACAATATGAGGCAAACGCTGTTCCAACGTGCCTCAGTGACGAAGAGGTAACGAATTAAACTCGATATAGCGTTGATATTATTCCGAACTACGCTAATAGCTTGACAGTGAAATTTAGAATTTCTCGGTTTACTGTGAATTGATTTTTGATAAAACATTCCCCAGCTGGTTTGCACAATATGGCAACGCCGTTGTTAGATTTTCATTTTTCTGTGTAATCGTTATTTTCTAAATGTAGTTTAGATGTGGCACAAGGCCGAAAGCATGGGACACCTAGTGAGAATCAAACTCACTTTTCAGTCGTAACTGATCTAGCGAGACAAGCTTGCTAAGCATTATTCTATGAAATGCCCTTTATTTCTTAATTCAGATTCGACATTTTTGGAGTGAACCACGCTAATAGGCTTTGAAATGAAATTAGCTCATCTAGACATTTTTCGGACAGAAAAAAGACAATGATAGGGATTAAGCATACCTTGAGTATATATTTCACAAAAAACCATATTAATATTATAAGGTTAATTAATATTAATTGAAAATAGACCATCTAGACATTCTTTGGAGAAAATGAGGGATGGTGATACATATTAAGCATACCTTGAGTATATATATTTAACAGAAAACCATGTAAATATTATAAGGTTAATTGACATAATCAATTATTTGACCGCATGGGCGCCATTTTGACAGATAAATTCAAAAGCCGTATTTGTCATGGAATCTGTCAATTTTTTTATCATAGCAGATTGGACTGTCCCTGCTGAAGCTTCTATGGTTGCCCATAAGATATCAGTTCCATTGGCATAAACATCTTGTTTAATGATGGACCAAAGATTTTCTATAGGGTTGAGATACGGAGAAGCTGGCGGCCACACCATCAAACTTTCACCTAGTATACCGTAAGGACCTAGGTGTGCTTGGGTGACCCTGGCAGAGTGGGAGAGAGCGTTGTCATGCATGAATACTAGAGTTCTTAGAAATGACAGCGGTATGTCATCTAGCTAGGGATCCAAGACCTCTTTCAGAAGATTGCAGCTTGTAGCTGCGGTCAATTTAACCCCTTCAGGCTGACTGGTCGAACAAGTCTATTCTTAAAGATACCAACACACAACATGACTCCTCCACCCTGTTGTTGACGTCGTAAACGTTAGTGACGCTCATCTCCGAAATAGATCAAACGATTTGCCCAACGGTTAGGTTCGCCAAGGGTCGTCCTGGTCTCGTCAGTGAACGGAACACAAGTCATGTACTTTCGAGCCCATTGGCGCCTCAAAATCCTGTGACGGTGCATTAGAGGAGGAAGTTTCAGGGGAGCTTGTACGGAAGCTATGATTCCGAGGATACGATCTCTGATGGTTTTTCGGTACATGAGGACGTCAAACGGCGGTGAACATGGCATTGCTCGTTTGTCCGGGTTTCCTACGTACCTTGCGGCTAATATTCCTTAAATCCGTATCTGTCACCGTCTTGGAGGCCAAAAATCGAATCGTTTCTACCTTGAGGAATCGTGTCAACGTGACGGTCTAAATTCTCTGCAATGACATGAAGAGAATTGCCTTTCCTTGATGATGACGACATATTTTTCTCTATCGTTGAGGCCTTTTCCACGTCCTATTGTTCTTGGAGATGAGAGAAACTATTAGCGTGATTCCCCCCAAAACTGTCGAATCTGAAGTAAAAAAAAACCAAAAAACAAAAGACGCTATACAGAATATTGAAAACCTAAAAATTATGCTGCCATATTGTGCAAACCAGCAGAGAAAAGTTTTATCAAAATCAAATTCACAGGAAACCGTGAAATCCTAAATTTTACTACGAAACTATTAGCGTAGTTCGGATATATATATATATATA